CTGACACTCTTTGAGAGATTGTTTATTCTTCATTTATTTACTCATGCACCCATTCCATGTCTTTTTTCTTTTTTATTCTATTTTACTGATTGTTATTACAATTGTCCCAATTTTTCCCCTTTTTCTCCCCTTCACCCAACACCCACCAGTCCCTCGGGCAGTCCCCACCCCACTGTTCGTGTCCATATGTCATGTGTATAAGTTCTTTGGCTACTCCATTTCCTACACTGTGCTGTACATCCCCAAGGCTATTCTATAACTACCTATTTCTACTTCTTATTCCCTCGCGTCTTCACCCTTTTACCCACACCCCGCTCCCACCAAGCAACCATCAAAACACTATGTATCCATGATTCTGTCTCTGTGCTTCTCATTTGCTTAGTTTGTTTTTTAGATTCAGTTGTTAACAGGTATGTATTTATGGCCATTTTATGGTTAATAACTACTCTCTTGCTGCTTTTAAAATTTCCTCTTTATTTTTAACCTTTAGCATTTTAATTACGATGTGTGTTGGAATGTGCTTCTTTGCATCCATCTTGTTTGGACCTCTCTGTGCTCCCTGGACTTGTATGTCTATTTCCTTCACCAAATCAGGGAAGTTTTCTTTCATTATTTTTTTCAAATAGATTTCCAATTTCTTGCTCTTTCCCTTCTCCTTCTGGCACTTCTGTGATACAAACGTTGGACCTCTTGAAGTTGTCCAGAGGCTGCTTATACTGTCCTTACTTGTTTTAGATTCTTTTTTCTTCTTGTTGTTCTGATTGATTGTTTTTTGGTTCCTTACATTCCATATCATTGATTTGGTTCTTAGCTTTGCATTGTACTATTATTTCTCTGTAAATTGTTCTTTATTCCAGTTAGTGTATCATTCATTTGTAACTTAATCTTTTTTATGCTGTTGAGGTCCTTACTAAGTTCCTTGAGCATCCTTGTCACCAGGGTTTTGAACTTTGCATCTGATAGATTGTTTATCTCCATTTTATTTCATTTTTTTTCTGAAGTTTTGATCTGTTCTTTCATTTGGGCCCTGTTCCTTTGTCTCCTCATTTTGACAGCCTCCCTGTGTTTGTTTCTGTGTATTAGGTAGAGCTGCTATGATTCCATAACTTGGTAGCATGGCCTAATGTAGTAGGTGTCCTGTAGGGTCCAGTGGCATGGCCTCCCCCATCACCCAAGCTGGGTACTCAAAGTGTACCCTTCGTATGGGATGAGTACATCCCCCTCTTGTAGTTGAGCCTTGTTTGATTTTGGCAGGTCAGTGGGAGGGATGTACCCCTGCCAGTCAGCTTCAAGGGCTGGCTGTGACCACTGACCACCAACTTCCTCTCTCCATGGAGAATCAGCTGTGCAGTGTGGTGGTGCTCCCAACATGGTCTGTAATTGTCCACTGGGTGTGAAGGCCCTGGACTTCCCGGGCAATGCAGGGCAAGGTCAGCCCCCACCTGTGTATTGCTCAGGGCCACCATACCTGAGCTATAGAGCAATCTGAGATGGTTGCTACTTATCCTGGGCGTGGAGATTCTTGGGTGAAGGCAAGCTCTGAGTCTAGGCTGGCTGCTTCTAGTGCCAGGCCTGGGGCCACTTAGCAAGGGGTACAGGTGCTGGGGGCTCACCGAACTCACTAAAGCTGGCTGTTGCTTGTTTGAGAGGATTTAGGAAGTTGTAAAGCCTGAGCCAAGATCAGCCATTCATATGGAAAAGCCACTGTTAACAACTAAGTTGGCTAACACTGTTTACCCAACTCTGGAGACTCAGGGAATCTCCAGAGCTGGGTAAGTAGTGTTAGCCAGTTTGATGGACTCTCAGATATGGCACCTGCCTGCTGGCCCTGTGGCTCTGAGCGGGGAGGGCTCAGCAAAGGCTAATGGCCTCTGCCTACCTTTCTGTCTAGAAGAATCCTGCCCTCCAGCTCTCACCTTGATGCCAGACACTTCAGTTCCTCCCCATATTCCACTGGCGCCTTTCAAGCTACTATCCTGGTGCTGGAGCTCAGAGGTAGTGAGTCTGAGTAAGTTAGTGTGTGGGTTCTTTAAGAGGAACTGCTTCAGACTCCAGCAGTTTCCTCCCCCAACTCAATCCTTGCTGGTTTTTGGAGCCAGAAATTGTTAGGACTTACCTTCCTGGCACTGGCATCCTGGGCTGTGGGCCTGGTGTGGGTCTGGGACTCCTTGCTCCTGAGATAGCCCCCCCAAATTTTTATCTGCCACATGTAGGTGAGGGACAAGCCTGTTTTATGTCTCGCCTCTTCTACCAGTCTGGATGGATGTGGTTTCTTTAATTCTGTAGTTGTCTGACTTCCATTCAACTTGATTTCTGTTGGATCTGAGTGATGGTTATTCTACCATTTAGTTGTAATTTTGATGTGGTTATGTGAGGAGACAAGCCATGTATACTTACATCTCCATCTTGACTGGAAGTCTCTATGTGTTTCAGTTCTCCCTGTGCATGAGAAGGGAGGAGACAGAGACTAACAGTCCCAGAAATGTATCCCAAGGCCATCCTTACTCTCTCAACAGCAATTCCCCGTTGATGCTTAAGTCAGTCTTGAACATCAAGTAAGGATAGTACAAGCAGCCTGTGGGACAACTTCAAGACATGGGGGTGCCAGAAGAGCAAGGGAAAGAGCATTTCTGCTGACCAGTCAGTCCGTGGGCCACAGAGGATACCTGGTGCCCCAAGCCAGTACCCACACCTGCAACCTCCCTGCTGTACAGTATGGGAGTGGGCCACTGTGAGGTAGGATCAGCCCCTCCAGTAAAAGAGAACATCAGACCTGGCATGAGATGTGACCAGCCTCCATTGCTCACCTTTCTGAAGTTTTGAGGCCTCTTGTGCCTAGGTTTCCTCAGCAAACTATCACCTAGCCCTGCACTGGATGCTAGAAAGGGGGTAGAGGGACTAACACCCATTCCATGCCCTCAAGCAGCCCCCAGCCTAGAGGGAAGAGGATGCACTCCTGATGGCGTATAGCAGCCTTTATAGACTCGGTGAGAAACAGGAAGGAAAGCCCATGACATTGGGCCTGTCTGCGTCTAGTTGTGCAATATCCCACCCAGACCTGCTGGAAGCCTTAGGGGGCCCTCTCAAGAGCCACCAGGTGCTACCAGCTGTCAGATACGGCAAGGCAGGCCTGCAGCCCACCCGCAGGGCTCCGAAACCCTCTTTGCCTGCTGTGGGGCTCAGCTATAGCTCCCTGAGAAGGGAAGGGCTGTCCTCAAAGCCCAGGCCTGAAAGGGACAATCATCCTCACCAACAGGCGGAAGGCAAACGTCACGCTGAGATAATTGTCTTTGAACTGTTCACATCTTATTTTTAAAAATTAGATTAATACAGGGTTGTGGCCTTCTGAGAGGTAGATTCGCCTCTCACCTGTGCAAGCCAGGCTTGCATGCCATGGGCATCCTGTTGGAACCAGCTCCATGGAAGTGCGTTAGCTCTTTACCCACTTGGATCCTCACCTTGGCACCACACTGCTTAGTGAGAACACTGGAGAATAGAGCCACACCTCCTTAACGACTTGTCTTCATCAAAGTCAGCAATTTTAGAAAACAGCAAACTCCATCTATCATCTTGTGTTTGCAGTGTGACCAACTCAGTGTGACCGTCCTTGCCTGTTTTTCCTCCCCCAGGAGAGCCAGCAGGAGGGAAGGGTAGCCAACCCACCCAGCCCAGAGTCCCGAGGGCTCTTTCTGTCCTCACGCTCCCTTCCGCAGAGTCCAGGCCATGTCATGTCCTCCGCCCCGGTGCACATTGAAATCATTCGTGTTTAGACTTCCTGCCTCAATACCTGTAGTTGCCAAGTTTCTGACAAAGAAGCGTGGTGTATTCCTTGTGATTAAAGCAAGGCTGTACCACTGACCCTGCCTGGGATCGCGCTGTGATTGCTCTTCCATGATTCTTCTCCCTTTTTATCCTCTTCTCCCTCACTTCCCTTTAGGTGTGTACCATGTCCTCTGTCTTTCTGAAAAGTACAGTGGGCTAAATCGAACCATGTCTTTGTTTCCGGTTGTTGCTGTAAGAAACTGACATGGACTTGGTGGCTTAAATCAACAAATATTTATCATCTGACCATGTTGGAGGTCAGAGCCCAAAATGGGTTTTACTGGGCTGAAATGAAGTGTCGGCAGAGTTGTTTTAGAAACTCCAGGGAAGAATCATTTCCTTGCTTTCTCCAGCTTCCTGGGGCCACCTGTGGGCCTCGGCCCCGGCCCCTACATCGTTCCCACCTCTGCTTCCACCTCATGTCCTCTCCACCCACCCCAGCCTACCCAATAGAAGGACCTGGATCCGCTTAGATAATCCAGAAGAAGTTTCTCAGCTCAATCCCTTTTACCGTGTGACCTACTGGAGTCACAGGTTCTGGGAATCAGGATGTGGGCATCTTTGGGGGTCATTATTGTGCCATATTTATTTAAGATGAGACTGGTAAAAAGTTGTTTTGTCATTGAATTTGATACAGAAATGTGGAAAATGATCTAAAGGAGGAACAAAAAGTATTGTTCTCTGACTTCTCCAAGGAAATGATGGGCACTGCTGGGGGGGGGGGTGAATTCTCGAGGACTGCATCAAACATGGGTCCTAAACAGGCGTCTCTCCTCGGAACCCTGCGCTCGGAAGTGACACCGGGATGCAGGTCCATGGCCCACATCTGCTCCAGACACAAACAAGCCAAACCTTCATTGTCTTCTATTTTATTGTAGTAAATTACTTCCGACTGACATTAGCAAAGACTTTAGTACATAGCACATTTGAAATGAGGAGCAGTATATATGACCAGAATTCAGTAGAACTAAATCTAGTGGTATCCTCAAGTTCACAGAAACTATGGGCGCCATTTGGCATCGTGTTGTGTGAATCAAGGAACAAGACAGGCGAGGGGCCAGGATTGCTTTCTGTAATAATTATCACTAAGTTCAAAGCTATTTTTGGCAGGCCTTAACGAATGTTTCTTCTCTTTCCTTCTCAAACGGCTGTGTCCTGACCCACTCCTCTCGCTCCAGGATTTGCGCAAGCAGGTAGCGCCGCTGCTGAAGAGCTTCCAAGGGGAGGTAAGCGTTTATATTTATTTTATGTCCTGAGCCACTCTTCCTACTTAGTTCATCGCACTTTCTTTCTATTCTCATTAAGTAAATGCCATTAACAGAAGGTGCTCACCCAGATGGAGCCTTCCCAGCTGCGCCGACCCCACGCCGTGCTGATTTTGCACTTCCCAGTGGCTGCTGAGTGGGCGGAGCTTATTTAGACCAAGGCCAGTGAGAGCCCCCGAGCCTCCTGGGGCCTCTGCCGCCAGGGGGCCTTCTGTGCCATGCTTTCCGGTGAAGCTGTTGGGGGAGAGGAATTTCATTTGATTGAAGTTTGAAAAAAGAACAACAGACCGAAGTCTTGAGGAGTGAGCTTGGACTCAGTGTAGGGACAAGTTTTCTAATGCACCCTTCTAGAGAAGGACAGGGCGGGCTGGTGGGCAGGCTGCCCCTTGCCTGGGACGTGTGCCCTTGCCACCGTAGAGTTACACCCGTGAGGAGGACAGGTGGTGGAGGTGCGTGACACCCCAGCTCCTTCTCAGGCTTTTGTGCAGAGACTTGATGGATCTTACAAAGCCAGAAACTTGGTTACTGTTTGGTGTGGAGGTACTCACTTGGCTCTTAGCTTCTCCTGTTGCAGTGACGAAAATAGTAACAATGGTGAAGAAAGGAAGCAAGACTTTTTTAAAGTCCTCTAAAGACCCAGGCTGGTAGAACTGTAGAGATTCACAGAGAACAGGGGCAAGGACAGGAGTCAGAGAAGCATGATGGCCTGTTCGGGAGCGACGTGGGCTGCAGAGTGCCTTCTGGGACACATCGCTAAGGGGGCGGGAATCCTGGGCCTAGAGCGCCACAGTATGAGGCGAGGGCCACCATTTGGCAAATCCCTTAGCGTGCAGGCTGTAGGAGGGGGTGAGGGGAGGAAGAACGTTTGTCAGGAGGATGGCAAGAGAGGAGATTCCAGAACGGTGAGGGGCTAGGGTCGGAAGCCGAAGCAGCAGTGATTGCTGGTGATGGTAAAGGTTTTAGAACAATGCAGCGGCGCTGTTCTCCGTGCTCACGACGCCCTGCATAGGGAGCCCCCTGGACTTAGCTCTGTGGGGCACAGAGGGTATCGATATCCCAGGTCTGGGAAGGACAGGATTGCCTTTTCCTCAGAAGTACATCTCCCAACCCTCATTCTGTGGAGTGAAACTGTCACCTTACACCTGCCCACATTCGATTTGATCTCTTTCTTTTACCTGTTCAGCAGCTTTCTGTGAGGCCCACTGGCTTAGTGTTTCCTCTACCTAAATAGCTCAGTGTACTATTTTTATTGTTTGCTTGTTTTTCTTTCTTTTTGAAAAATTTCAAGTCTATATAAAAGTAGAAAGACTACTATGATGAACACCTGTACACCCTGTGACCAGGCTCTCCACTCGGTAATGTTTTGCCACATTGGCTCCCACCCCGGTGTTAAACATCAGAAAGTAAGTAGCAGGTAGCTCGGCACTGTGCCCTTAAACATACATGTGATCTCCTAAAATTAAGGGCACTCCCCACATTTTCACAGCAACTCTAAGTATTACACCTGGGAAAATGAACATTAATTCTGTGATATATAATATTCAGCCCCTAAACCAAATTTCCCCAGTTATCCCCAAATTGTGTCTTATAACTGCTTTGCTCCCACCCAGGTTCAATCATGTTCATGCATTGCATTTGGGGGATATATATATATATATATATATATATATATAAAATCTCCATCCCCTCTCATCTTTGTTATTGTTTTTATTAATGGAGTTTTATATGTTTTTTAAAGATTTTATTTATTTATTTATCTTTAGAGGGGAAGGAGAGAGGGAGAGAAACATCAATGTATGGTTGCCTTTCGTGCATCCCCTGCTGGGAACTGGCCTGCAGGGAACCAGTCTGCAACCCAGGAATATGCCCTGACTGGGAATTGAACCACAATCCTCTGGTTCGCAGGCCTGTGCTCAATCCACTGAGCTACACCAGCCAGGGCTTTTATATGGTGTTTTTTTTTTTAGATTTTATTTATTTAGTTTTAGAAAGGGGAAAGGAGGGAGAAAGAGAGGAAGAGAAACATCAGTGTGTGGCTGCATCTCATGAGCCCCCCACTGGGGACCTGGCCCAAAACGCAGGCATGTGCCCTGACTGGGAATTGAACCAGTGACCCTTTGGTTCACAGGCCGGCACTCATTCCACTGAGCCACACCAGCCAGGGCTGTGTGGGGGTTTTTTGTTTGTTTGTTTTTTGTTTTTTAGAATCTAAGTTATCTTAAACATATCTCACACTCTGGATAGGGTAATAGGTTTGATTCTGGATACATGAAATTTGAAATGCCTGAGAAGCAGCTAGGCTTCCTATTTTGCCCATTTTTTAAAGGGCTATTCATAAAATAAATATTTTTATATACCATTAATTAATATTTACCAAGTCTTTGCTAACTTCTATATTTAGTAAATAATTTCTGCTTACTGGTAAGCCGGTTTTAGTAGAAAGGACTAAGTCTTCCTTGTTTCTAAAGAACGCGCCTCATAGCAGAGGGCAGCCGCAGGCGGGTGCCCATGCTGAGCAGCGTCTGTGGGCGGCACGTCTCCGTGCTCTGATGGGCAAGGTCCATTCAGCTTGTTTTTCTAGAACACCAACTTCTCTAATCAGACGTTTGTTCTTGTAACCTTCCTTAGTGTTTACTGTATGCAATTTTATTTATCATATACGTATTTTTAAGTTCATCCCAAGGTGCTTGAGTTCCCCTTGGAAAAATGTGTGGTATTAGTGAAAACATGTTCTTTGCCTCAGGATTTGTATAGATTACTTGTCTATTTGAGATCCCCAAAAGGAAAAAATAAACAAATGAATAGGTTTCAGACAGCTACATATTTCCGTAGGACTTAGCATTCCTGCAGCAATGTGCATTTCCCGTGTTTTAATGTCATAGGAATTGTTACCGTTGCTGGGTGCCACTTCACCCCTCAGTGTCTTCTTGTGGTTTTCAGGGTAGATCCAGACACCTTCCTGCCTGTGGTTTAGGAGGCCTGCATCATTCAACTGCTCTCCTTTGTCGACTTCTCTCACTTCCTACCACCCAACACTGGACACATAGCCATTCTGCGTGTCTTCTAGGCCCTTGTGCGCCGGGTGTGCTCACCAGCCTCCCAGCCTTTGCACGGGCCAACCTCTTCCTCAGACACTCCTTCCTCCTCTCATTTCACCGGGCTCACTTCTACTTGGTGTCACTTCCTCGGGAAAGGTCTTCCCTGAGCCCCAGGGACAGGCCAGGTCCCTGTACCATGTGCTCCCATTGCACCCCTCACTGCTGGTAGCGTATTTGTCATCATGCCTGAGAGCTGCCTGTGACTGTTTCTATTCCCTATGAGTCTGTAAGTGTGTGAAGGCAACTTCTGTCCTGTCTTGTGGGCCATGTGTATTCCCAGCGCCTGGCATGGCAGCTGGAACTAAAGTGTTTGGGCTCTTAAAAATAGTTATTGAGCACATGCTTGAGCGGTGAGGTTCCTCTGGAGGCAGTTTTTAAAACATTTGTCTCTATCCTTTCTCCAGGGTATGTTGCTATTAATAAGGTGACAAGGACCCCAGAATATTTGCTTAGGAAAAACCTTAGAAAAGATAGTAAACGACTGTATTTGTTGTCCTTGACTGAAAAGTTTGGAATAGTATAATTGTAACAGTTACTCATGATCGTTATAGCAAAGTCATCTATTTTAACTCCCACTGAAATTAGATTTCCGGCGTATTTGTCTCTCCATGTAAGCTTGTGTGCTGCATAAGCCCAGCCAGCCGATCAGTGGGAGCAGGGGACGGAACCTAAACGGTCAGTCCAGTTTGGGGCATATTTTAGTTCAGTGAGATGACAGTCCCATTCTCTAGAAAAATGTTAAATCTTTCCAATGATCTCACTGTCTTCTTGCTTCTCTCCCTGAGGAGGATCATAGGATAGCGCGTTGGAGGGTAAGGAGTTGGCTTAGGCCCCACTCCTCTTGGTAGGGGAGCTGGCTGCCTAAACCAGGGGTCCTCCGGGAGGAAGGTCCTCTAAAATGGCTGAGGCGCTTATATCAAAGGGGAAATAAAGTCTGAAAATTCATGAGCTTAGCATTCAGCTTAAATAGTTGTAAAAGTACAACGGAATAACCTCAACGAAAATAGGAAGATGGAACCAATCAAAATAACTAATAATAAAAATATATGAGAATAAAAATGAATGAGAAAGAAAACAAAGACCTGAGAAACAACCCCAAAGTTGGTTCATTGCAAAGATCGCTACAATATACAAACTGCCTTCCTAATAAAAAATGATTAGGAATGATAATGGGGATAACTTAGCAGCTGTAGCAAATAAAAAGATAAGAGGGGAATATTATAATCAATTTTTTGCCAATTTAATTAAAAACGTAGACAAAACAGATTTCTAGAATACTATAACATATCGAAGCTGAGTAAAGAAGAGGTTAGAAAGCCTGAATAGCCTCACAGCTGTTACAGAAATATTTCTACAAGGTCTAGACATTTTTATGGGGAGTTCTGTCAGTCATTCATGAAATAGTTTTAATCTTTTGCAAGCTCCTTCAAAAAATAGAAAAAGAGAACAATTTCTAACTCATTTTATGGGGCTAGTTTAACCTTGATGTCAAAATCAGATAAGAACACTAAAAGAAAGGAATATTAAAGATTTTATTTACTTTTAGAGAGAAGGGAAGGGAAGGAGAAACAGAGGCCGAGAAACATCGATGTGTGGTTGTGTCTCGCATGCTCCCTACTGGGGACCTTCCCTGAAACCCAGGTGTTTGCCCTGACTGGGAATTGAACCTGTGACCCTTTGGTTCACAGGCCAGCACTCAATCCATTGAGCCACATTAGCCAGGGCAAAAAAAGGAATATTGAAGTAGTCTAATTTATGAATAGATATGCAGAAGTCCTTTAAAAGGTATTAGTAAATTGAATTCATCAAGCTCTGTGTATCCCAAGAATGCTTTTTGGTTTAATATTAGAAAAATGTATTGTC